ATGTTTCAAAATCGTTACAAACACAATGGTTTGACTGCAATGAATGAACGAATGACTGATCTGGCAACACCATATTCCGAGAATGTACTCCTGCGTCTTTCTAACAGATATTACACAGCGAGCGATTTCAGATGCCCACAGTCCTGCATACCAACATGTCCCATACGATAAATAAGCTTCAACAAGAGATAGCATTGTATGTGAGGTCGCCACGAAGGACTTAACACTGCTAAAACGCATGGTGCAGAAAATGTATTACACCGCTGGAACGCATGGTGCAGAAAATGTATGAATTTCGGGAATTTTTTTTGGAATCAGTGTAAAAATTTTTTACAGATATTAAAATCTGTAAATTAGAATATCTGATTCTATATTCTTTCTAGATTAAAGGAGTGTTCATTTCGTTCATCATAAAAAATGTAGAAATCACACCATTTTTAGAAACATGCTTACAATTTCATTGCTCTAGAAGGGCGGGCATTTATATAAACTCCGTCCAGCTGCCCCTACCGGAAATTAAATGGCCCGTCCGATAAAGGTTAATACAATTATCTTGTATAATCTCAATATTTGAGAAAGTTAATATTGTAATTCTTATATTTCTAATATAGGCATAACTTTATAATATGAACATGTTGCACTAAATATGGATCCATGTTTGGGAGTTCAAATAACTTCAGCTGTACGATCACAATATGGCCTGATGAAGGTCCCAGGACAACCAAAACATGTAGAGGTTAGACAATGAAATTCAATCTGAGTACTGACTGACTATAACCTCACTTGTTGTGTTGACGGAAACCCTACCTTGCCATAAGCAATACATTTATTCACTGATAAAAGACGCTGGAGACTATCAAAGTGGCCGCAGGGTCTAAGGCATGAACTGTCTTCGCCTGCTCAAACATGGGATCGTTGGTTCAAATGCCATTCAAGGCATGGTTGTCTGAACGTTTATTCTGTGTCTGTGTTGTTCTGTGTGGAGGTAGCAGCCTTGCAACAGGCTGATCTCCCTTCCAAGGAATCCTACTATTAAGAAACTGAAAAAGGCGCCAAGGTCCACAACAGCTGTACAGCCATAGACGGAAAGACAGCACACTTGTTTTTGAACGCAATAACGCAGGTTTGAAGAAACTGTCTCAAAGTTTTGTCTGCACAGACAGAATTTTTGATATTTTGATTGCATTATCCAATATCTAGATTAACTGTACTTAGTTTTCTGTGTTACTTTTAGACCAACCTCCTTACTAGAATCAATTACAGATTCTGTTTTACTCATATGAATCCCAAACTTCTGTTTAATATAAACACAAAGTACAGACCTGAATGTACTTCTGAACTCCAACAAGTGATTTCTTAAGGGCATCAAAGCTGGATGAATACAACATCTTCTTTTTCACCTTTGCAGTGTCAGGGCACCAAGACATCAAGAACAGCTTCTGCTTCTTTGATGCCTGAGGTAACAAATAATGAACAGGTAGGAATATCTATATATATGCCGATGAAAACAAGCCGCCTGTCAGTATGAAGTAATCAGAGAATGAGGTCTGAGTACAATTTCAGTTATCACATTTCAAGTTCTCTGAGGCTTCATTTTGTCAAAATGCTAATGATACTATTCACTCTCAGAAAACAAAGTAAATGTGCCAATTCTGATTTGTTTACATAAAAAACTGACATATTGTTGCTGCAAGTATAAAACTACATATATCAATTAATTAATTATCCCATGAGATATGCAGCAAAATGTTTTCACAGTCAACAGTGTAATCCCCTCATTTCTGCATCACTATTCTCAAATTTAATTCTGTACTCTCCTTTACCCACCCTATAGGAAAGATAACTGAAGTGTGTGTTATGCTGAATTGTGCACCTCATCTGTGAATACTAGACATGCTAAGCATAGCCTAGATCACATCCTCTAAGGTAGAGACTACTTTAACCTTTAACAGACCAATGTTTTATATATATCTAACAAGCAAGTATGTTAACACAGGACAGTGCTCTCTCTTTGGGAGTGCTGACAGTTTGATCTTTGGTTTGAAACCAAAACAAATCCAGGCAAGGTCATGTCAGAGGTTCATTTGTTAGCTCTGAATAAAGAAATCATTTATCACTATACCAGTTTCAGTACTATTTACCTTTAGATATGAATGTTTATGACTTGGTCAGCCAAATAGAGCCCAGCTTTGTTTTTAGAACTGAGTAGTAAATATTCATCTGCGCTCTAGTGCTTTCAAAGAAGTGTGACCTATTCAAGGACTGGTTTTCAGTAGCCAATTATCAGTTAGGAAGTCAGTGTCCTGTCATAAATTTTGCTATATATCATTTTTATTTTGTGTCTTGGAAGAGGTATAAAGAAAAATTAAAGCCCCTATGCTGAAGGTTAATGCCCATCAGGAAACGTTTCTACAGTAGAATAACAGTAAAAATAGCAAGACACTGATCAATTCATATCAACCGCTAACAATGGAACACACTGCAGGTCTTGACATCCTTTTGAATTATATACCAGTTCCTAGACAATCTGCAAGTTGCAAATGATGTGAAACTGCATGCAGCTGTTTCAGAGGCTGCAATCTCTCAAAGCAAAAACCTATATGAAGCGGAACATGACACTGAACCAATCTCTACGAAACTCGTCATGTATATCACGGAACTTGAGCCCATCTCAACAGTGTACTTCATAAATCCCTCCCATCAGTCTGTGTCCTTACTTTCATTGTTAGGTAATGGCTCCGTAAACGTGTTCCCAAGGCAACAACGAATACTTCAAGGCATCCATATTGTATCAAAGGGAAGTAGGCTATTAGTTTTTTTCCAGAACCTCTCTTGTTTTTTCAACGGGACTGGTTTGTTTCTCAGAAACAAATCTTACACTGCCTTGCTGGATACTTTTCTTTCTTGACTTGATGGGGCTATCTTTTCCAGTTTGTATCTGCTGAAAACCCTTGTCACTTGCCTGGAGGGTTCTGTTCAGACCTCCACAGTGCTGGTTCCTTCTCTGGATGGTGAGCACTATCCAAACTGTGGCATGTTTCATGGTTTTTCTGTCTTTCTTTCACAAAGTTCACTAATTCTGACTAATGAAATGCACTAATCTAAAGCATATCCTATTAATTATTCCAGTAATGTTTTTAAATAAACGCTTAAATCCCTGCAATTTTCATGTTGGGAAACCTACAAATAATGCCCCACACATCATACGAGCTTAAGCATATTTGTGAAACAAATCTACTGGGGTCAGGGAACTGAATTAGTGTCCATCTTTTTAAAAGATTGAAGTTACAAGCAGAAGGGAGGCAATCTGAGCATCTAATGAAATGGTGAGTTCCTTTAAACAATTTATCTACTTCAAGACATTCACATCTATGTTTATAATGCAAGACGTAATAGCCCCCTTTCAGAATCCGTTTTGCCTGAGGTGACGGCCAAGGCCCAACTAACAAGCAACAAGCAAATTGGGAGACAGTCAGGCAATTTGGTCTTTCTTGAAAGACTGTGGCAACTGTGCGAAGAAATGAAAGGTCACTTAGGGAAGAATATGTTCACAGACAGACCATGCTGTCCCTTGTAGACTCCATGCAATGTTTTTCTTGGAATGCATTACAAATATAATTTTACTGAAAATACTGGCAACATGTTCTACCAGGCATCACTGTAGCTGTTCCGAGCTGGTTGCCACAATGTCTCTTGGAGTCTCCAAGCTGTACATCACACCTCTGTACTTATGACCATTCTCAGGTAATGTAATCAACAGTTCCTTTTAGGGAATAGGCGTGTTTAGCTTCAGTGGACGCCGCATAAGCGAAAGGACTGCATAGATGAGTACAGCACAAAATTCAGTAGCCTTGACAGTGTGATTCATAACTGGCACATGTATTATTTTATTAGTTGCATTGCATTTGCTGAACATCCATCTGGCACTTACGTAGTCATTCAATTAATGTTCACTTAATTGTAACTGCAGGATACAGAAGCACAGTGTGCAAAGGAGTGGAGTATCATACCAACTGAGTCACCAAGGGTGCATGTCCTCCATCATTCTCCCCACTGAGAACAGTGGTTTAAATATAAATAGACTTGGTTGACAGGAATTTTCCCCAAAGATCTCAGGTCAAGAAAACTGCTGATTGGATCCCACCCCCCAATACCTATAACAACAAATAGTCAATTTACATGAGTGGATGTAAATTTGTTATTCATGGAACAAGCTACAGTGGGGCATCCCCTCACACATACTGTGGCAAGGACCACAGGGATAATCAATAGAAACCCTCTCCATCTGTGTTTGTGGTTTTAGTAAAAAAAAAAGGATTTAATTTATGAAGACGGTGCCAAAAAGGGACCTGTCCAAAATGACAGTGGGTTACAATCACTGCATGCATTGCTACACGACAGGGTCTGTGTGCCTGTACTGCTAGATCAAGTTCCAGATGCCATTAAGCTTCACAATCAGTGCTGTGAGAACAGGAACATAATTATTACTATAAAGGGCAATTTGGCAAAATGCACACCTCTGAAGTTCCTTGGCACTGATGCGTGTATTCAAAATCAAATAGTCCATATCGGCATTCACCAGTACCGCCCTTCTGCAGGTCTTCTAGGAACTGGTCATAGGCTGCATTACGTTCACCTGTAACATAGACAACAGGGTTACTGCACAGCACTGGGGACACAGAATTTGAGAGCACTACTGCTACGCCACCTACTTCGTAACAGAAATAAGCTTCCCTTTAATAACCGTGCCATGTGTAAGAAACAGACCTGGCTTATCATCTGGTCTACACGTACTGGTGGCATGTCCCTACCCCTTCTGTGAGATTTATCCTTGGCTCTCAGGTGCAATTCTTGTGAAGACCATGGATTAAGATGATGACTAAATTCTTGCCTGAATTTCTTCGTCTGATATCTCTTCCTACACAAGCAGCTGGCATACATGCTGCTGTTGCACTGCATTCACTGTAAGCTGCACTTCTTTATTTTTTTAAACCTTGATACAGCAGCCAGCACAGAGGCCACTCATGGTTTGTTAGGTTTGCAACTTCATGCTGTTTTGCCAATTCTGTCTCAGATTCACCCATGATACAGCTATTGTTTGAAGGCAAGATGCTTCTCTTCATCAAACACAGGAAGGTGTGATCAGTGGAAGGCACAAGAATTTCTCTTCTCTTCAGTGCTCACACGACCATGGGGGCCTACCCAGCATCCTATCCAATGGATACTGGAGGCTATCCTTGAAGATAAAGCAAGAGGAGCATGAAGCTCACCACTCATCTCCATCTACTGCCATGGTTAAGCACATGTGGAGTTATACCTCCACTCTGCAAATATCTCTTCATGGTGTGGTGCTTAATTAAGCACAGACACATCTTTAAATTTTTCCCATTGAAATCTGAAGTTCTGTGCAAGAAAAAAATCTGAGTTTAACTGAAACAGGAGAAGAACGGGCAGTTCAGGATGAGACCCAGGATAGGTACAAACCTGTAGAAGCAGACCAAAATTTATTTTATGCAGCCTGTGTGACCAATTCCTTCCTACGAAACTAGAGACCAGTGCCTGGGAAAATGTGTTACTGGAGGAGAAAAATTTATAATTTTCAGAAAACTTTGTTCTCACGAAGGTGGTTTGTTTTGGGGTGTAACGCAGTGTAGCATATAAAATGTCAGATAACTCAACAGACTACCTGGTGTTATATCCCAGAAGAAAGGACTCTTCATCCTATTTGTAGTTTATTTAATGAAGCAATCAGTAGCTCAGACTATATAGTGTCAAATGGTTGGATCAATGAACTATAAAGGGGATGGGAGGAAGTGACTGTGGCCTATTTGATGCACCATCTACATATTTAGCTGGAGAGGCTGAGGAAAGTTACATCAAACTTCAGTCTACATAACTAGTCTTCAGACAGAGACTGGAACATGGACGCTCCCAATTACAAAGAAGAAATGCTCTCCACTCAACAGCAGCCAGCATTCGTGTTTTCAGAAAAGGATTCTGTACCAGAGTTCCAGTTCCAATGTCAGTAAGAGAGAAAATGTCGGCTCCAATCCATATTGAACACATTTTCCAGGAGTGTTCTGAACAGATGCAGCCTTCAGTCATAGATATGTTCACTCTCTGCAAACGGGAATCTAATGCTGCAGATTATCAAGCTAATCAACTGTACTGCTTAACTGATTTACATACACACAGTAAACCTTGGCTAACCCAGACTAACTGGGGAGAGGTCATCCATATTTAAGTGATAATACAGGTTAGTGAAGCAAACGGTAGCAGTAAAATTGGGGGGGGGGGACAACTATGAACACTGATAAATGGAAAATTGATATTAAGTAGTGCTGATGAAAATAAATAAAAAAATCACTTTACAGCCTCTATTTAAAATACTTTATTCAACAGAAGACTTGGAAACTACTTGTTTTTGAACGTAATAATGTAAATTTGAAGAAACTGTCTCAAGTTTTGTCTGAACAGAGAAGCCTTACTAAATGCCACGAGTTTTGTAAAGTATGTACTCAACTATGAACAGCATTTTTCATTCTTCGATCCAGATTATCCAACATCTGGTTTAACTGCAACCAGATGTGAGGGTTTACTGTGTATCACATAAAAATTGTTCCAAATACATGTCCTAAACCAATGCTAAAGTGTACTGACAATGGTGTATTACCCCTAGCTATGTGTAACAGAACAAAAGTAACAGATGTAACAAAGGGCCACTGTGTGTCAGAATGCCTATCACACACAAACTCATGTATGCTTCATAGCCATCACCAAGGAAAGTTACAAAGATCATTACTTTGCCCCTTAAGACTCCTGTGGCCACATATATATGCCTTTGCCAGGGTGCTCTGGAAAGCAAAACCATCCCATTACCAAGTAAGATTTGAGGTTTTCACGGAGGTGACTATGAACAGAGCAGTCTTCTGGGATGTGGCGCCGTGTAGATATTGTGTTAACCGACGTTTCAGAGGAACGTATCGCCTCCATCTTCCGAGTAGAAGAAAAAAGAAGAAAATCTGCAAGCGAAGAACCCATGTGAGCAGGTGCAAACACAATAATTAGTGTATTTGCACCTACTCACATCGGTTCTTCACTTGCGGATTTTCTTCTCTTTTCTGCTCTCCTCATCCCATTGCCAAATATGGATAAGTATGCATAAACATTTGCTCTTACCTATAACTTCAACGTCTATCTGCTTCTCATCCCTAATAAAGAAAACCACGTATCGGTGCTTTTTATCCTTCTTGATTTCTTCATACGTAGTTTTACACACGTCCGACACTGTGACTCCTGAAGCCTAGAAGCACAAACAGCGCTGTTAAGGTCTCGAGTTCTCAAAGCAGTGAAAATTAGTAGTTTCATGGGCATGTACCAATCTGCTGCTTCCACCTTCAGGTAGAAGAGTGTGAGAACCTACACAAATGCTCTGAAACACAGACTACATTGCACCACACCCTGTTACAAACAGAATAAATGCAAGACTCAAACATACCCAAAATTTGACTTTTGCTTTAACATTTCAACATTCTCTAAGTACTTACACAGTTTCTGCAATCTTCTTGTGGAGGGCTTTCCCTTACATACATACATATACTATATATGTGTGTCTGTATATATATATATGTATGTTATCCCTCTGCTTAACTAATTTAGCACAGTGCCATGAAGGCATACGGGAGAGTGGATGTATAGATCCACTTTTCCTTGACCTTGGCACTGGTTGGAGTGAGTGGTCAGCTTCACGCGCCGGCCGCTTTACCCCGGGGAAAGAGCCCCCGGTACCCATTGGATAGGAGGTTGGGTGGGCTCCAGAGCTCGTCTGGACCACTTGGAGAAAATTCTTGACCTTACCAGGACTCGAACCCCGACCCCTCAGTTGTTCAGCCCATAGCCATTCGCTATACCGACTATGCTATCCCAGCTCTCTATATATAGATATTAAATAAATGCTGACGTAATGTATACCCACTGGGTGGCTGAGCTCAAGCACTACAGCTACCAGCAGAGAGAGGAAAACTTTCCAAATCTGATACGAAGCCTAGATGGTCCGTTGCACTGACCAGGCTTAAAGGGGGGGGATTAAAAGAAAACATTCACAAAAACATAATCCAATACATATGCAATACCAGCAACACAAACCTGAAAGCAGAGTGTTCAATTTTAAAACTGTGCCCAAACAGAAAACACTGTAATGATTTGTCTTCACAGAACATGGGACATAAATGCATGTCCAGAAAACATGCTGATACTCAGATGTTCTGAATCCATGCATCAATCCTCCTGACGATGTTTCCAGAGACATGGTGATGCTGATAGCACTGTCAATATTAACTTTCAGCCGCTGTAAGCTCCTCAGATTGTTTTGGTACACAGTTCTTCAAGAATACTTGTGAACAGTCAGGGGATACTGGGTCCAGTGTGGCCACAATCCCTAGCCCACAAAAAGAACTCCTTTGTCTTGTCTACTGTTCTCCTGAGCGCACTAATTCCTGAATGCTGTCAACAAAGTATACTCTGGATTGTTACATTCATGAAAATATCTAACTGTATGTTGACATACACGTATATATCACATAATGTCAGGTATGTGAAAGCGCAAGAAAGAGATATCCCTGAGCTAATTAATTATGCAGCAAACTATGAAGATATATGGGGGAGTGGAGGTAGTGCTTCAAACATTCTTAATCCCTGCAATAGGAGAAAGCGAGTGGCAAGCTTCATTCCCTGGTTGCGTGACCCAAAGCAAAAGGGCCCCAGTACCCACTGTACAGGAGTCTGGGTTGGGCCCAAATCTGGTCTGAGCACTATAGACAACAGGAAAATATGCGGTTCCTCCCGGGAATCGAATCCAAACTCCTATGTTGTCCAACCCATAACCTAACACTGATACCAGCTGAGCTATTCTGACTCCCGAGGTATGTGAGAGAAAGACTTTTTCACTTCTAAAAAAGAAAAAAAAAATGCACAAACTGAGAAGAGAATGTGAACAGTCCTTCCTTTCACTGTAATCATAACACTAGGCACTTTTTTGCAACAAACTATTTGATCCATTTCATGTAATATGCCTTCTCAATGGATCATTTTAATACATTTTTACATTTCAAAAATCAGTTCTAGAGCCATGCCCGTTTTCACCAAGAGGAGGGACAGACATATATTACTGACACGTGATTCACAGCACCATTGCCAACCACTGCGATTCTGACGGGTCGGGTAGTTTGCATGCTATTGTGCAAAGCAAAAGCAGTCACGTGAAAAATTCTTAATTCATTATTCAATTTTGCAAGTATGAGTTCTGCACATGCCTATACAATGTCTTCTATTAGGGCATGGTTTTAATTGCAGGAATAAAAAAACTTATAAACATAACAGCGTGCAAAATCAAAATATAAATTGTCTCCATGAAAAGTTCAATAACAGGAACAACCAAAAAAGCCCTATAATAATAATAATAACGAAAAAAAAAAGTTACGGTAGCATTTCGTGCCATTTAAGTTCGGTCATGACACACAACCTTGCACGGTTTGTATATAACTGTACAGTATGATCAGGACCTTCTGTCCTAGATACCTTAATTACGTGTCCTTCATATATTCCACCAACAACTTTGAGGGACAACATTCCCTTAACTAGTTCAAAATTACGCAGAAACAACCCCATGCTTACTGAAGAGATGCGCCCTTAAAAACGTGCATCATGAATATCATCAATGCGAACCCCATCTTGTCACTTACTCCCATCCCATGCTAGTAGTGAAAATGCATTCCAACGGAAATTTCTTCGGCCTGAAATTGCAACGGACTCTTTTAATCTGAAAAAAGGTTGAGGTACACACAAAGTAAGAAACTGAACTCCATCACCGCTTTCCAGACATCGTTCAGTAAAATGGGAACAGCAACCACACTGATACATGCATGTATGCATTCTGAATTTCTTGAAACAATTACTCAAGAGTGTTTTCGCTGAATTTGTTTCAGAAAATTCGAATACTTACCCTCCCAAGAAGTTGGTCTAAAGGTTTGGTTCCAAACTCGACCAGCTATTCTGTGGCTGTGGTTTTCATTCCCTCTAGGCAAACGCGGGGAGAATACCTCGATTAGGCCACAACTGCTTCCATCAAAACCTTTTCACCAGCCACCCTACTACCCTAACCTCTATACTGAGAACGATGTTAAATAACCCACAAGAATGTATATTTCCTACATTTACTACGGGAAAAGTTATGGTACGTATTGTGAATTTTACATTTCCGTATGAGTGAAACTGTACGGTACACTGCAGCTGTGAAAATGGGAGAGGTGCATAAATTACTTCACTAAAACCACGCGACATGGCAACCAATACTACAGTTGCGATTCGTTAGTTACGGACCGGAAAACAAAGCTTAACACGCGGAAAGAACTTCACGCACGCCCAAGCTACCAGTTTCCTGTTAAAAGGGTGAAGAGGGGTATGGGTAATCATATCATCCGGCCCTGCGGTTTCGTCAATATATTTCTACAGGCTCTCCACGGAAAATCACACTTAAAGGTGGAATCTACCATGCGACTATTCAACCTTACTCGATCTTCTCAACCCGGCAAAGAATGAATTTCTTCTATTATACAAAGCTTCAGTACGTACCTCACAGGAAACAGTCGCTATTTATTACGAGAACCATACGGAACACACAAATACACTTCCAAAAAATATATAAGAATTCAGTTCGTACCTCACAGGGAACACATTATGTCTCCGCTACAAAGCCCAACCGGTTAATGCTGTTTGGGGAAACAATCGCTGTTTACTGTGAGAACCATTTGAAACACGACTACACTGTGTGGGCAGAATGCAGAGTTTTAGTACGATAAAGCATGTGGTACATGTAGTAACCACTGGGCTTTAAAGGGGCTAAAAGGCAACACCAAACTGCGATCAGTCATGGACTGATAACCGCGATGCAGCACAGAACAGAGAATACCACAAATGCCACAACAGCTCGTCATACTAAACCCTCCGAAGCATGAAGTTCATCCAAAAATATTTCGAAGTTCCCGGCGCTTCCATCAAGACCAACCGCCTAACGACGTTCTAGAAAACAGGGGACGTCAATACTCAGATCGCCCATAAAAATCTCAGTTTACTGCCTGAGCTACGTACTACAGACCAAGGAAAAGGGTTTCAAATTCCGTTAGAGGCAAGTTTATTCTCCGTTTCTTCCACACCTTTTCTCTGCTATAAGTACCGGGGCAGTAAAGCCGCCAGGGACCCCAGCTACACCTCCACTCCTCCCCTTCGTCTACTCTATGCGGAAATACACGGCTTTAAAGCAAAAGCAGGTGGTACGTAGCTCCAATCACACGAACATTCATGGGAGAAGGCATCTGCTGAAGGCTGCCCTCATTAGGGGGTAGCACACATTGCAATTATCCTGAAATACGTCACGTTATCCCTGCGTTTAATTCACTGCGCACCACACCACAAAGATGTATGGTGCAGCGGACGTATTGCTCCACCATTCCTAACTCTGCACTAGATGGGGGCACTCCCAGCCACTTCACCCTCTTGAGGAAAGAGTCCACAGTACCTAGTGGATGGCAGACTATTCCGAAACACGTAATGTTTAAAGCCTTAGTCATCGCAACAATTGTGAGAAGTTGTGGCAGATTTAAATCCCCCCCCCCCCCAAGTTCTGTGACATCGCATCTAATACCGGCATAGGGTGATATTCGCTACCGTGAAGAAGCCTGCAACCAGTATGATCGGGTTTAACTATGAACCTTACGAAGAGGTGGGGCCAACGGTTACAAATCAACCTTACTTTTAAACAAGATAAATTTGCTGGTTGCGTAGCCGCTGAGCGAATGAGACAATCGGCAGCAGGTGTATTCCCTTCCCCCCTCCCTATCAGAACTTACGTCGCTGCAGCATGACCATATATAGTCAAGCTGGCGAGTCATGCGCAAACGGTAACTGAGTAAGGAAAGAGAAGGGATCCAAACCTTCATTCCCACCAATCACTGGTAACTTTACACCGTCAATGAATTCGTACGCACGGCGTTTCATACCCAACTCAGTACAAACCGCGAAATCGTAATAAGCAGACACTAACAAACTTCATCAAGCTGAGCCCTTCTTGAGCAGCCGCCAATGGTGGAACTACCCAAGAACTTCCCAGCATCTTTTTGGAACTCGAGGGTTCATTACTGAGTTCACAACAGCCCTCCACTTGTCCCTATCCTCAGCCAGATCGATCCAGTCCATACCATCTCATGCTATCTCTCGCAGATCCATTTTAATATCATCCACCCACCTATG